ATAAAAAGCACACACGCCAAGAAAGGGCATCGCAAGCCCCAAAATACACGAGCAAACAGAAATAAAGCTAAGTGTCGTCGATGCGAGTCATCTCTCCCATCTCCAACTCGGTCACCCCATCGCTAGCATTAGTACCCGTCCCTCCAGCCAGGTCATTCACATCCCCAGTAACCGATGGTCCCAGTTGACTAGCAAAATCGAGCATCTACTCATCAATCTGCTCCTCCGTATGCTCAGCTCCCTCCTCCAGCATCTCTTGCATGAGCTGGATGTCCTCATTCGGATTCTAGTGGGAAGTGTTCCCGGCTTTATACTGAGCATGAGCTCCCCCTGGGCCCTAATGATGGCATCATCAGCAATGGTGAGGCACTGCTCCTTGAGGGACTCAATCTTTGCTGTCTTCTCGGCTAACTCTCTCTTCAGCCTCTCCAACTCTCCCTCGGCTACTTTCAGACGCTGTTGACTCTCCTGCTCGGCCTTTTGGGTTGCTGCCTACCTTTGGCGCAAACTGGTGTTCGCCTTGGACACATCTTGTATCTTCTTCTCCTGCGCCACTACGGACTTTCACAGATGCAGACTACTAGTGAACGCCTGCACAGCAAAACATTGTCATCAGTACAAACCATGATGAACAAGATAAAATAGTACTGCCATACTTGAAAAGCGCGAGATACTCCCCAGTCAACCCTCATCAAGTTTAAACGGGTCTCATCCGTCGGGAACAGGAAAGAGTCAGCCAACTTGCTCATAGAAGCTGTGTCAGTGTAGGTTAACGCGGAAGTCAGAATATGGAAGGTAATCGTCTCAGTCTCTTCATCCAAGATCGCTGTCTGGGATGAACCGGCTTCGACGACGGGCTGACGGCTCGGCGGTGTCGCCACTACATCCTCCGCTTTCCTATCCTCTCTGGCCGAGCATTCCCTTTTTCTCTTCTTGCGACGTCGAGCGATGGACTCACTCGCACTTGGGATGGTCAGCTTCTTCATTAGTGTCTCTGCAAGCGCAAACTCTCCAATGGTTAGTGGGTTTAGCCGGGACTCACCATAAATAGTATGATTGCAGTATCGAGTCAGAAGCACATCTCAAGTCTGCTTCAACGAAGGGACAGGAATATCTCGTTGAATCGCCTTTATTTCCTAGAGATGGCTGGCCCTGAGGTTGGCCTCTACTAATACTATTCGCCAATCCCTCTACGCCTTCAGAATGGCTAGCACCTTTTGGGTCTGCACGTCCAAACCGTCTCCGCTCTGCTCGGCCTGGTTGTACTCAAGCTCTGCAAGCAAAAGACACAATAAGATTTAGTAATCAAAGTATAAAAAAAGACAAAGGTTCTCACCAGTGGCTCGCCAACTGCTCGGAATATTGCCCTGACCTCTCTCCCAAAGACAGCCTAACCCTGCACAAAGAAGTACCGATCTTTCTAGTTCTTGTCATTGGAATGGAGGTCGGTCACCAGGTGAGACCGATCATGCCTAAGGTTAATCAGATATCAACCCTTCTCTTTGTCGTTCTCCTTCAGAAAATACGAGTACAACAGCTCGTGCAACCCAAACATCACCTGGTTCCGCACACAGAGATTTTCCCGGGCCATAAGTAACCTCCAACCGTTCGGCATGATCTGCGATGGGGCAATCATGAAGTAGTTCAACACCTCCCAGACGAGGTAAGGAATAGGAAACCTTAGCCCATCATGAAACCACTTCTCATAAACACTAACCCAACTTTTTACCTCCCAATCAACCCGCTCGTATGACCATAGCGCCCGGATCTCCATCGAACCCGGAATGTGATACATAGTCTGGATTCGCCACATGTCGCTATCCTTGAGCACGGGCGGATAATCCCTAACCATGATCCCACTACCTTGTTGGCTTGGCTCCTCCTCAGAGTTACCGTTAGACGAGGGTGAACTACCAACACCTTCGGAGTCTTCCCCACTTTCCTCATGCCTGCCCGAACCACTCGGACCAGTAGCACTAGTCCCAGGGGCAGCTACAGTAACATTGGTCGATACACCCATCGGAACAGAGCCTTCGGGCATCATCACTATGGTCGGGGCACGTTCATACTCATTCCCAACATCTGCCCCAACCTCGCTCGGATTACTAGATTCCAAATCTGACATCTTGGCCCGTCCGACCTACTCGACCAACTAGTTGTTCTCAATAACTTAACCTTCCAAAATCCTAAGTGTCGGACCAACACTTGCCCTGTACATCCGACCGAACAGCAAAACAAAGAACCCCAGTTATTGCTCACCCTTCAGCACCGACCGACTTATCCCAACTAACTACCTATTTAACTTAAGAGACCTTAGAACACAGATCGTCCCTCCCTACCGACCGACCGACCGACTGAGTCGAAGACTCATCACTACCCTCGCTCGTCCTAAGTGACTGACCAATGCTCTAGCTCACCGTTCCCGTGAGTTTACTCACCCTGAGTCACCAACCCACCAATTCAAACACTAAAGCCGCCCACTCGGTTTGGACGACCGACCCTAATTCAAGTCCACTTCGCACGACCCTCTTCCACTCGGTCGGATGGACCGGATGACCTACCTATCCACTCAACCCGAGACCAACCTCACTTGATTTGGTCAGGCAGACCGACCGAGCCGAGTCAAAACAACACTTAGATATTTTTGTCTCCTCGGTTCTGTCCAAAACATTTGAAAATACCCAGAAATGGACCAAATCACCGGAAACCCACTAGAAAATTCAAAAATTCACGCCTATTTCTAAAAATCTATAATCTAAACCCCTCAAAGCCCACTCGACATCCCCCGAAACGTCAAAAAGTCTCAGCCTCTCTCCCAAAACCTCAACAAATCTCAACCCCTCCCAAAACCTCAGCAAAAACAAACAAACAAGCAAAACAAACGAAAGTTCAACCTAAAGGAATAGTGTTTACCGTAAACGATCCTGGAAACTGCAGAAGGAAACCATTGCTGCTCAAGAAATTGGAACAAAAAAAGAAGAAAAGAAAAGGAAAGAAATATTTTTTTTTTTTTTTGCAAAAAATGGAGGAAAAACGTGAATGGGAGACGAACAGTCTACCCCTCATTTTTCTAAGGGAAATCTAGGGAAGCAGACACGTGGCAACCCACGATTAGCCAACGGTTAGAGCAACTCTTCGTTTTCCCTCCTCCAAAACGATGGGCTGATAGCCGTCGTACAAGTGGCAGGCATCCACGACACCTAGGAAATCGCAACATCGTACAGAAGCCATGTTCAACTGCCCTGCCTTCCTAGCCAACTCAGTACGCGACTGCTTGAGTGGACCCAACAGGTTCCCATGTTTCACTGGTCCGAGAGATTCTCCTAACCGGTCGGATGGCTGGGAGAGATCTAGCTCATGTTCACACTCGAGACGATCAAGCCAAGAGGCCTTGCCTATTTGGTCTTTTGTAGCGGATGAGTAGGCAAAGTTTGCTCATTTTGTTGTCCCTCTAGGATCCAGTAGAGAGCCCCGTGGTATCACAAGTGCACGTCATACGATCCAGCAAGCCGGCCAAGTCCATTTCATCCATTTGATCACCCGAGTACCCCGACCGAACGAACCTTCAGTTTAAGGTCGCCTTTAACTCACTCGACCCGGCATACCGAGCCGATGCCTTTGTCATGGGATGCTAGCTCATTTCTTTAGTCGACAGGACACACCGAATGAACACATGAGCCCCAGAAGTCTCGTTCTCAGTCTCTTCGGCCCTTCACACCTACCGGGCACACCCTGTTGGGATGACTGCATATTCTGGATCGGTAGTGGATACCGAGCGACCCTTGACTATGAATCACCCGCATCAAGTTAGTCAGCTACACCGACAATCGGTCGCCCGGGTAGGGCGACCGAATTCGTCTCTTTCACTTCCTACTCTTTGACTTAAGAAAACCTTAACTTAGAGAGTAGGGGGTAAACTGTTATGGCCTAAAATCGTCCCTGGCCTAAATAGGAAAACGAGTCTAACAATGAGGAAAAGACCAGGCCCAATCCCGATACGGCCCAATCCAAAACTCACCAGATTAGGCCCATTTGATACGAAGTACAGTCGGCCCAAACCGTTTGGACACAAGCCTTATAGTCCCAGTTCACTTCCTGGATCTATGAACGAATCGAGAGCTTGTGGTCACCCACATATCACGTTCCTATCCGAGCACAGGTAAAGTAGCCCACTACAACCCCAACTCCTCCAAGGTCCATGTCAGAGTCATACCTGGACTCCTCTTCATGCCGGGATAATGGGACCAGAGGATTTATCCCGAGAGGGAACGGATTACTACGAGAACTCCCAATCCCACCAGGATTGGGAGACTAGACAATCACTATTTAAATAGAGGCTAGCCCTCTCACAAGGTATATTACACTACACCTACAGGCCCCGGAGTTCTAACTTGAGAACTTCACATCATAGCCATAGTCACAGTCCCCGACCAGACTTCTGGTAACCTCTCTACTCCCTAACCCTCACTAAATCAGCATTTTAGCCTTGTTGACTTGAGCGTCGGAGTGCCTACGGCAAACACCAGCCCAGTGTTTTCCATTGCTTCACGTTTGTTTATTTACGTTTGCAGGTACAGCAGATCGCTAGTGGCCTCAACCTCACGGGATCAGACCCTCTTTCTGTACAGGTAGATTTTTACGTCTACAGTAATCTTACTAATATTTTAATTTAATAATTACTAATAATAAGATAATCAATATTTAAATATAAACTTTCAAGAGTAAAATAGAAATATGAAGGTAATATTGGATTCTTTATTCAAATTTCAAATCCAGCAAACAAACAAGGTAATAGAGACTCCAATACCCATTCCGTTATCAAATCTTTAAATCAAACAAGAGTCCTAAGCCCAAAAAACTTGCGCTTAAACACCATCACTCCACCAGTATCCTTAAGCCCAAGCCTAAGTCTAAGCCTAGGCCCAGGCCTTGGCCCAGGATCAAGCTCAAGACAAAATCATTGCCACCATGCCACAAAAGGAAAACAATAATAGTGATTACTTACTCACCCTCTCTGCGCGCCTTCAAAACGGATAAAGTCCCTCCTGTATCACTCTCTTTCTCCGAGCACCAAAGCCACTGAAGAAGAAGAAGAAGAACCAAACGGTCCAAAAATGTTACTGAATCCTAGTGGCCTCCATTCGAGGCGCTACTATCCACACTCTTCTCATTTCTCACTCTCCTCTCGCTGCAAGCTCTCTCTGTCTCCAAGTTGCCCTTGCTTCATCAATTCCAAAAAATCTTCCAAATTCCGCTTCCTATCTCTGCTTTTATCTCCAAGAAACTACACTGGGAGGTTTATTGTTAAAGCTTTGGCGCAAGAACCTCAAGTTTCGGATTCTGAGACGCTCACCGCGGATGCGCCGCCCTCTTTTCCTCAACCGGTGTCTGTCAAAATCCCCTACGGTGACAGACATGTTAGTTTTCTTCTCATTTGTACTTAATATTTATTTTTATTGATTTATTGATTTATTTATTTTTGGTGTTGTATTAGAGATAGACATGCCATTGTACATTCGTATGTATGTATAGCACAATTGATGCTTTCACATATTTTATTGGATTCAAATTTGGTTATAAGGACTTCTGAGCGGTGATAGAGATGATAGGAGAAGAGTAGAGTACATTCTTTATGTGACAAAGCTAATTTCAGAGATTCTTTATGGGCTTTAGTATCTTCTAAGTTCCGGGATGTCACTTCTTTCTTCATTTATTATGGTTGGGAAGGGGCAATTTTTTTATTTACCTTTTTAAATATAGGACCCTCTTATTTGTCCTAGTTTGTTGTTTTTGAGTTTTCTTGACCTTTTTAGTATAGTCTACTTGCAGATAGCGTGTTCACCTTTTTCTAAATCCTTTTTATTAATATATAAATCAGTTTCTTATAATGTAAGGTTCGGAATTTTGGAGAGGGAAAAATATTGTTGATAATTGAACTTTATGGTAGTGATTGAATAAGGAATTAAAAAAAATCAAGAGTTTCTTCACAAATTGCATTGAACAATTTTAATGTGTTAATGTAGAGAGCTTTGCTTTCTAAAGTGTTCTTCCCTTAAAGGCGAGAAATTAAGCTTTGAAATAAAATTTTGGGTTGCAAATTGGGGTTGTTCAATTATCTTTGAAATTGTATAGATTTACTGAATACCGTTATTGCTCCACAAGCAGTTTTTTTGACAGGAAATATTTCCTTGGAAACCCTTGCTTGTAACTAAAAAGAGAACTTTGTTTGATATTAGGTTCCATTCTTTACTAGAAGGTATATTATCATGAAATTTAGGTGTATTAGCTGTGTTTCTTCAACTAGTTTATGGAAGGCATGCCGTATTATGATGCTAAGTAATCTTCTTATGGGCAACACTCTTCTCTGTAAAAGTTTCATGTGAAGGCAAATAGAAGCTCAATAGTCTTTTAACCTTTTGTTTTCTGAATGACACAACCCTTGTAAGAAGATGTGCCAAATAGGCCCTTGACTCTTTTTTTTTTTTTTTTTTTTCCTTTTCTTTGTCTGTCTCTCTTTTTTGTTTTTACTTACAAGAAATGGAGTCTTGGTTTTCAATTCAGTGACTTTTTTCTGCTTTTAGAGAGTGCCATACATGCTTCTATTTTTGGTGAGAGGTGTACTAAAAATTGCTTCTTTGTAATTATGTAATTTTTTTTCTTTGTAGATTTTGGTTGAGACAGGTAATATGGGGAGACAAGCTAGTGCTGCTGTTACAGTGACAGATGGTGAAACTGTAAGTAATCACTTGCTCACAACGATTTACATAGTGTTCATATCTCATTTAAAGTTTTGAATTTTAAGTGCAAGTTTCTTAAACGACCTTTACAATTCATGCTTAAAAAGAATTAATGCTTGTAGATTGTCTTCACTTCTGTTTGTTTGGCGGATATTCCAAGTGAGCCTTCCGATTTTTTTCCTCTCTATGTAAATTATCAAGAGCGTTTTTCTGCAGCTGGTCGGACCAGGTGCATCTTGCTATGTTTGATCGATTTTTTTTTTATTTAAATTTAATCTCATTATTTTCTTGAAAAGGCCTAACTTTTTTTGCTTAATATCTGAAATTGCATCAGTGGAGGCTTTTTTAAACGAGAAGGGAGGACAAAGGATCATGAGGTGCAGGCTACTGCCTATTTCGTTTCTCTGATTTCAACTTGCAGTCAAAAACCGCTGGGTTATTTTGTAAAGCTTGAAGGATTCATTTCCATTTTACCAAGTTTTAATGCTTAAAATAATAATAATAATAATAAAAAAATAATAACTAGAAGAATAAACAACAGTTGTTACTCGAAAAAGGAAAAACAAAAAAGAATAAAAGAAAGAACTTTTCCATTTTATATGAAAACATATTTTTTTTTTTTTTTTTGAAGTTAGTATTGCTGCATCAATCACTTAGAGGTGAGCAATGTCCCATCAAACAGCTATATCTCCACAGTTCCGCATGCACAAGTATAGATAGGCATCATATATTGTTTTATATTCTTGACCTTACCTAGGAAGAATTCAAATATAGCAAACTTTCCAAATTCTGTAAAAACATGTTGTACGTTTAGTATTCAAATCTTTAACATCATTTCATGAGTTCTTATTATTGATAACTGTCAATCAAAACAACTGACGTAGCCTCTTAATATGATTCATCACCCAGAAGTTAGACATAATTTTTTGTGCTCTTATGACAATTATCATTTAGAAGATAACCTGCTGAATTTATAAAATAACCATTATTGAATGTTGATCAAAATGTGTATTGCATTAAACAATTGCACATCGTATGTGTAGACATAGTTTTCTTCTTTTGCATTGAAGTGGCTGCATATGCAGATATATATGGTGTGTTTTTAAGGTATTATGCGGCATTGTTGGCCTCTTTGTTGAGTTCTGTTTCTGCTTTCAAAAGCAAGTGCCACTGGCAATCTCTCTCTTGTTTTTTTATCTTTTGTTGAAAGTACTAGCAGTTCCTCTAGATATTAGTTTCTATTGCTTTCTAATTTTATTTATTTATATTAGTTGGTCATCATTGATGAGGGAGTATTCCTATATTAAATTTTCAAATTGGAATAAGCCTGGCTAGTATCTGTTAAAGTCTACATGCTTCTATGAAAAAGAAAACATTTTAATAATATGTAAAGAAAACTGTTGGATATCATAGTATTTTCAAAAATTAATTATATTTTTCCTTGTTAAATTTTTAGTCACTGGAAACCTTTTTACTTTCTGAAAAGAATGTGTCTTATTCTATTACCTGTGCCATTCTTGAACTAATTTGTTAGATAGGATTGTGCAGCTCAAAATGTGCTATAATGACATGAAAAGAAGTCATCTACCATTTAATTATTTGCAGAAATAAATATGGGTATCTTATTCATTATTTGAACTGAATTATTTGTTTATTTGTTTTTTATTATTGTTTTATTTGCCTTCGAGATTTTGTCATTCTCATCTATCAACTTTTGTAATCCTTTTTTTGTGTTGCATGCAGGTCCTTGTTTGTAGATTGATTGATCGGCCCCTACGCCCAACTATGCTTAAGGGCTTTTACCATGAAACTCAAATACTATCATGGGTATGGTCCTCTTGCATTCCTCTCGCAGAATTGTCACTTATAATTTTCCATTTAGTGGTGTTTTTTTTTTTTGGGTTGGGGGTTGGTTTTGAATCATGATATTTGGTGATATTTCAGTAACTATTACAATGAAAATGAAGGTTTGCTCTAAAATTTAATTTTGTATTTTATTGGTATATCATTGATTTATTTAAGTTGTTAACAAGGTGCAAAATCATATGAAAATGGTACTTTGTATGGTTATTATGGATATTGTGTATTTTAAACTATATATTATTAGTGCTGCCAACATTCAAATAATTGTTTAATTTGTTTAACTAGGATTAGAGATTATATGGTTATTTAGGGTCCATTTGTTTTTTTGGTCATAATATTTTTAATGTTTAGAAACGTGTTTGATATTCAAAATTTGTTTCTCCAGTTAAAAAACTATAGAAACTTGAGAAAAACAGAACTTTTTGCGTTTTATAATTTTATTATAGCTCTTTTGGATTGTATATGAAAACTATTTTTGAGAACGTTGCTACAAAATTGCTTTTTTTGAATTTCTGCTCTTGTTTTTGAAAAGGAAAAAAATCTATCTATGAATTAGTTGTCTACAAATAAATTGTACAAAAATAGCATAATATAGGTTAAAAGAATCAAAGATTCAAAAGCAAGTGATGAGAACATTTAAAAGGGTCTTGGTGGCAAAAAAATATGTATTAAAAAGTCTATGCAGTTACTGCTAACTGCCAACTATGATAGATAACGAGATAAGCCATATCTCGGAATTTAGAAGACATTTAGGTCTAGAATTTAAATTTTCCCCATAAACATTGAGCACTGTTGTCCTAGTTTATGATTCATTGATTGTATGGTGCCAATAGTGCTCTTTTGTTGGTACTTTTTTGGAAATCTTTATGCACTAGTAAGTGTGAGTTATTCTGTCCTTATCTTGTTGTCTGCATGCCTGATTTTGGTTAAAAAAATTTACCTTTATGCTTAACAGGTTTTGAGCTATGATGGTCTGCACTCCCCTGACGCTTTGTCAATTACAGCAGCTGGAGTAGCAGTGTGAGAATGATCAAATTTTTTTTTTTTACCTTATTCTCTAGGCAATTTGTAGAAGATTTATGATAGTATTTCAGGCATCTTTTCTGAATTTGTAATCATTGAAATACCACAGTGCTCTTTCGGAAGTGCCACATTCAAAAATAATCGTAGGAGTTCGAGTTGGTCTAGTTGGTGATAAGTTTGTTGTGAATCCAACAACAAAGGAGATGGATGACTCAGAGTTGGACTTGGTTTTGGCTGGCTCTGATGATGCAATATTGATGATAGAGGTGCGCTTTTAATTCTGAATTAAGCTACTGCAATCTTTTTGAAATTGAATTTCCTACTATAGAACAGTTAGCTGCAGATCTTATGTCTTCACTAATGTTCATAAAATAATTTGAATGGGATTGCATGCAATAGCCATGGAAGCCTTATTACTACAATTGAAGTTCATGGTTAGCTGTATGACTGATGAAAACAAGAGTTAATTATTGCTCCTTCAAGTAAATAGAGAAGTCTCTATTTGTTGTAAAATACATTATTCTTTGTAACATGTGACGAGTGTTAACTAAACTTTTTTTTTGTTCCTTCTAGAAAATGACATTCAATGTCAACAGTATGTTTTCACATCTTCATGATTGATGAATTCATAGATGGGAGTTGATTTTTGTTGAGACAATTGCCCTTTGATGATGCAAGTGGCCTTTGGGCATGCTTTGGTGTGACAGTGCCAATGGTTCTGTAGGGGCTGATGTGGCTTGGCTGTGCCCCATGGTGGCATGCTTACTAGGCACATGTCCTACAGTTTGCTTTTTGGTGTTTGTTTGGGCTTTGGTTACTAATGAATATCAGGATTCTTTTATTCTATTTATGCATGAGAATTGCTATGTTGTATTTTGTAAGTTATTATTACTATTTTAAGAATATAGTTCCTTATAAAAAAAAAAAAAAAAAAAATTGTTACTATTTTAAATTACATTTGCAAGCAGACAAGTCTATTGGAATATAGATTAGTGGAAACAAGGTCAAACCTGCAGGGAATGTTGAATTTCAGTAATCTAACGTAAATCTGAATTAATTTAATTACTTATCTAGTTAACCACAATTAATTGTGAATGGAATAAAATTAACTAACTAAGCTACACTTAAGTTCTATGAATTTAAAAGAAATTTAATCACTAAGAAATTATATTAATTCTTAATTTTCTAGTTATTAACTAATTTTTGAAGTTAACATGACAGTTGAGAATCAATCTACAATATATATATTTTTTAATTTTATTTATTTATTTTTATAAGAAATGAAGAAATGGTATTTTTATTTCTTTTATAAGAAACTATTGCACTATATTAAAGAAGAGATTGAATTAAGTGCATCATTGGACTAGAAATCCAGTAAGAAATAAAAAAAACTTAGAAAATGGGAACAATTTTATACAAAGGCAATGACAAAAATATGCTACCTAACGGAATTTGCTCTCCATAAAATGTGAGAGAAAGGGTGAAGTCATGATTTAATCCTGTTTGGTTGCAATTTATTTATTTATAATTAACAGCAACTATGCTTTGGTAATTTGGCTATTTGATTCATAGATGTGCAAAACTTTCTGGGTGCAGGGTTACTGTAATTTCCTTTCGGAAGAAAAATTGATTCAAGCGGTGAAAGTTGGGCAGGTTGTTTTTTCATCTAAGTATGTTGCTTATCTGCTATTTAATTATATCAGGCCGGTTTCTTTTTTGCTTATTAGAAATGAATTATGTGTGATCTCTGCTTGCTCTGTGATGTTTTCATAAGTATGTTTCATTTTATTGCATGCCAGTTGCGATCTTGTATGTAATCTTCTTTGATTTCCAGTACTTCTCATGACAAACTGTTATTTTAATGTTTATTGGGGATGTGCTCCCTGCTAAATAGGCCTGGGAGAGAAAAGATCGTGACTCTCTTTCTAATTCCTGTTTGTAAAGTTTTGCCTTTTCCGTCAGACTTTTGATTTTGTCATTGAAATCACAGAAATCAAGGTTGACATGCTTGTTGATAAATCTAGACATTTGGTTTTAGAAATGGTGTCAATGACCTAGAGGGTCCTTATGCATAATTTTTCATCATATCATATTGCATTGAAGTTCACTTACATTATGAAGCTGATATATTTAATTGTCTTTTGGTTATTCACTATTGTGAAAGCAGTAGGCAATGCTGAATTACATAGTTGGTTTGGTTTTTCTTCAAAACTGTGACTAGATTAAAGACCATAGATACATATTTGAGCCACTAGTTATAACAGTATACAGAGTTTTAAAGTTTTGTCCTCATTTTACATTGGCCAATATTTGGGGCCTGCGTCACAAAATCAGGACTTCTTTATCTGTTATTTGTTTATGTTATTTCTGCCAACTCTATAAGATCTATTGACTTAACTTTATTGATTTACTTTTAAGAGAAAATTAAAATTTTTTGGCCTTTGTTTAATATTAAATATCTTTATTGTTCTAAATTAAAGAGATATTTCAGTTTCTTCAAGATTGTTTTATGGTATCAAAGAATGTGATAACTTGAAGGCTTTGTGACTTCGAGGTCTCTGAAATGGGGCCTTGTATCATTTTATCTTGGAATCCTTTTACACCTTCTTCTATAAAGAAATTGATGGGCTTGATTGAGGCAATGACGCCATCCATGCCTCTACTTGTAGAAATAATTGTAGGAGGATGCCCCTTCATTATGCAAAACTATGAGTAACCTCTTGAAGGTGCTTACAGATTTTCTTATGAAATTTTCACATAGTTACAATTTATATAATCGTTTACTCTTTAGATTTTTTCTAGAAACAATCTAACTTTATTGCTTCTTCTTACTTCTGGAATTTTAAAGTTCTTGTGTTAAACACTTGTGACAATATCATTGACTTAAAAATAATTAGAAAGACTGAACAAGCTATCCACAAAAGTTAGGATCCATCTAAAGGATCATAAAAAAGAAAAAGAAAAAAAGAAACACCCATACTTGTGTCAGAACAAGATGCTCATGTCTGTGTCTACAAACCATTGATTTTATTGCTTTCAAAAAAGTTTTCTTTTATGCCTTGTTTCTTTCTTTATGTAGCAGTATCACTATTTTTCAGGATCCTTGCATTAGCTCACCAAATAATGCTTTATGGCTTGTGATTAATCTCTTTAAGCAGAAGTTTCACCTTTGCATTTTTTGTTCTTCTTTTAAGGGTTTTCTTGTAAAATTAGAGGTGGTAACCAGGCATTTATTTGATACTTATTCCTGTAATTGCACAATATTTCTTGCTTATTTATTTAAAGATATAATTAAGACTTTCATGGTTTAATTGTCCTCAAATGTATTGAATGTGAGTGCTAGAGCCTTCTTTACATACGTTTTGAGTATTTTGTTAGTCCATGTGGTTAAAGGTAATCATGCAAAGTTGTATTTTTCCAATACTATGCTACCAGCAAGTAAATGCTGATTCTTTGAGATAATAAATTGGGTTATATAGATTGAATGTTTTCTTTTATGGGTTGGTAGACAAAAGATGGGTTTCTTTCCAATTATACTTTTTGAGGGGTGATTCAGTATTTAATCTTTTTCTTTTTCTGTTTTTAATGCTGTCCTTTTATGTTTAGTGATGGAAGATTATGATAGGCCAACTTAGTATTTTGTGGGACAATTATTCTTTTTTCAAATTTTATAGATATGCTTAAACTTTACCTTTTCAATGTTAATACTCACCTTTCTCTTTTTGACTGATACCAGGATGCAGTACGGGCAATTTGTAATGAGGTGGAAGCTCTAGTTAAGAAGTGTGGTAAACCAAAAATGCTTGACACTATCAAATTACCACCTCCAGAGCTATATAAGCACGTTGAAGTAAATATTTTTTTTTTTTCCTCTTTTTATGGGATAAGCAAATGTCTATAAATATTTCCTTTAATGGTTTTAGTCATATTTTTATTGTTTTAGATTTTCCTTTGTTTTTGCTTATGTGTAGCAATTTATGTAAAGCTCTAAAATGGTTGCAGAAGGTAGCATTTAGTTTCTTAACTGATGGCGACATAAAGAAGTATTTGATGTTGGTCATAACGCTGATGGTTCGAGGGATTCAACATAAAACAAGAGAAATCTAAGTATTTTTTTTAATTAAATAAAATAATCTATTAAACATGTGAGACGTACAGAAATTCTGGAGTCGTACTTGAGATTCATATTTGTCATACTAAATTGATTAGTGTCCCCATTAATCTTTTAAAAGTAGGCTAGAAGTGAAATAGTCTTGCTTGTTGAAAATTGTTTAGGAAACCTTTAAAATTGGCACTGTAAGATCTTTGAAGGAGATATCTATCTTACAAATTCATTCTGTAATTTTATGCTCTTTTTCTTATTTTCTTTTTCTTTTTTTAAATCTTTGTCTTGTGAAAAATAATAAGTGGTAATCTATTTATTATTTACCATTTCCAGGAAATTGTTGGTGAGGACTTGGTGAAAGTGCTACAAATCAAGAACAAAATACCACGAAGAAAGGCTCTCACAGCATTGGAAGAAAAAGTTCAAACAATACTTACAGAGAAGGGATATGTCAGTAAAGATGAAACTGTTGGAACTACTGAATTAGTACCAGATTTGTTTGAGGATGAAGATGAGGATGAGGAAGTTGTTCTGGATGGTGAAGTAGATGAAGGTGATGTCCACATAAGGCCAATTCCACGGAAATCCATTCCCTTGGTAAACATGCTTGTCATTTGATTTTGAACCTACCATGTATGATTCATCTTGGCAATAAGCTATGAATTCTAATATTTCGTCCAAGAAATGAACTTTTGCATTCTTTCTTCTATGTTATTGAACTTCTATCAATTTTTATACTGCAGCTCAAGTTTTTAACTATATATTTTATGGTTCTCCTTTTCTAGCTGTATTCTGAGGTAGATGTGAAGCTGGTGTTTAAAGATGTTACATCCAAATTCCTACGGAGACGTATTGTGGAGGTATTTAGTTTGCTTTCAGTCATATCTAAATAAATGCTTCTCCAAGTAGTTTTAGATTTATGAATAACATCTATTAGATCTCTTGTTCCATCAAAACAGTTGACTGAAATTAAAAACTTTATAATATTTCTTTATGAAAATTTAGAATGTTCCAACCTGAATTTTGGAATGTTGAACATTTCAGTTTTTTTCATTGACAGAATCAATGTTTCACCAAACTTTTGAGGATGTGACTTTAGTTTTAAAATTTTTATTTTAAAAAATAGCATCACTGATCGAATTTATTTGATGTATAATGGAAGCTGTCAAGTTCTTACCAAGCGTGATATTCTTTGTTTGATGTTTACCTTGATCATTTGAAAACTACCATATAGCTCCTATCACTTCAGAAATGATGTGCCTTACTAGAAAGTACAGAACATTCTTTGCTCCAGTGGACTGGATCTTTTGTCCAGCAAATTTGTTTACTTCTAAGTGTATGTCTGATATCTATTTTTTTTTTTTCATTGCAACTGTTACAGGGAGGAAAAAGAAGTGATGGACGATATGCAGATGGAATACGCCCAATCAACTCAAGATGTGGATTACTTCCTAGGGCACATGGAAGTGCTCTTTTCACCCGTGGTGAAACACAGGTTTGGAAATACATGCACGTCATTATGTTCATCTATCAAAATTGGATAACAATATCTTTCTATACAGTTTTTTGAGCATGGTGCCTGCTGTTAGAATATTAATCCCAATCCTAATTCTAATGAAAGTTAGGTTTGGGATTTCCTAGTCAAAAGTAGGATTGGAAGTATTATTCTAACACCTACAATTCTGTTCTCACTGCTCCTTTTGTTTGTCTAATACCTTTTCATCCTTTTCAGGCATTGGCTGTGGTTACACTTGGGGATAAACAAATGGCACAAAGGATAGACAATCTTGTGGGCGATGATGATGTGAAGAGTTTCTACCTTCAGGTTTGAGAAGATTTTTGTTTAATTATTTGTATAATTATAAATTTTGGCATCCTTACCAAAACAAAAAGTAGATGCTTTATGTTACTAATGGCTGTGCATTTGCTTTTCATAAAATATTTAGTACACATTCCCTCCATCATCTGTTGGGGAGGTTGGACGGATTGGAGCACCTAGTAGAAGAGAAATTGGTCATGGAACACTCGCTGAGCGAGCTCTTGAACCTATATTGCCTTCTGAAGATAAATTTCCATATACTATACGTGTAGAGAGTACCATCACTGAAGCTGCGCTCCTCAAGGTGGTTTCTTCTTCTTCTTCTTCTTCTTCTTTTTTTTTTTTTTTTTTTCATTTCTTTTTATCATTCTGAAATCAGAAACATGTATATAAATATCTCTTTGTATATTTATTTATATACTACTGCTATGTTTTGAGTATATTCAAATCCTTTGATAACATGTTCCAACTTTTTGCACGAGCAATCAACTTACCCCTTTCCTCCAATCTCCTTTTGTAACTGCACTAGAAGTCATTTTCTGTATTGATCTTTGCATTTAATACTTAACATCTGGCTTCATGGCATAATAGCATGGCCTCTGTTTGTGGAGGTTGCTTGGCATTGCAAGATGCTGGGGTTCCAATAAAGTGCTCTATTGCTGGGATAGCAATGGGTATGGTATTGGACACTGAAGAATTTGGGGGAGATGGAGCACCACTAATTCTCTCTGACATAACTGGATCTGAAGATGCATCTGGAGATATGGATTTTAAGGTCGTATTTACTGGAATTCCTATGTTATTTGTATTATAGTGATTTTGATTAGGGGGTTTTATGATGCTTATAGTTGAAATTTGTAAAAAGTTTTTTCCTCATTTAGAATTGTGATTACAGGTTGCTGGAAATGAAGATGGTGTAACTGCATTTCAGATGGACATAAAGGTTACTTATCATTCAAATTTGAACTCATGTAGCTTATGATTCTTGGAATTTTTCACTTTGTTTGATAAGTGTAAGTTATAGTTAAGACTTGTTTTTAATTACAGGTGGGAGGAATTACTTTACCAGTTATGGAAAAGGCACTTCTACAGGCTAAAGATGGCCGCAGACGTATTCTTGGTGAAGTTCACAAACATGTTCTTTAGAAGTGATGCAATACTGTTTTTGTATAAAATTGATATGTGGAACTTGGAATGTTAACCTTGTGGCCCTAAAACTAGTTAAAAGAATTATCAAGTGTCAAGGTGTTATTTCTACTTGTCTTGACATTGACAGGATTAGTTTTTTGGATAGGATCCAGGTATCCTTTTCCACGTGCTTGACCTTTTTCATCTGCCCTCCAAAATTTTAGTGTTATATACTTTTTTTTATGTGATAGAAATTGTTCTTCAAAGAAACACAAACAAACTTAGAATTCTGGAGCACATGCTTGCATTGGAATATTACTACCGCTGGCATAACATAGCATATACCAACATAGATTTTTTGTTAAAAGAGAAAAAAAATGTAGAAAAGGAAAAATTTGTGATTCCTGGAATCGCATTCTGTGGGAGCTGTCTTCTCTGTAAAAATCTAGAGTGTACAAATTAAGCTTTCTTGAGATTTCCTTGGAATTCTTGTCTTCTTATTTCCTTGGGCTCTTACGTCTATTCGATAATACCACATGTGTCAGTACATGGGATGCATCCATTTTCATTCTTTAACAATTTCATTAAAAGGCAAAAAAGAATGATCACCATCTAACCATTTGCGGCATTTTGAAATATTAAAAGATTTGACTGTCCTAAATACGGTATCTTTTCCTTTTGAGTGTTTTTCAGTGGTTGTCAGTTCAATCTACATAATTTTGTTCATTATTTATTTCTTAGTTGAGTATAGCTAAGGTGACCTAACTAATTTTCTATCTCCTCTGCTAATTCTTTTTTTTGTGCTTCTATTTAATGATTCAGCTGAAATGATAAAGTGCTCACCTCCCCCTACAAATAGGCTTTCTAAGTATGCCCCAGTGATTCACATTATGAAGGTTTGTTTATTTCTAATGGACCAATTAGTTGGATAGTCAGTTGATATGATAATCCTTGGTACATAATTTTCTCCTTGGTTATTGTGATGATGTTTTACAGGTCAGTCCAGAGAAAATTAACCTCATCATTGGATCTGGTGGGAAGAAGGTGAAGAGTATTATTGAAGAAACTGGAGTAGAGGCTATTGAGACTGAAGATGATGGAACAGTAAGATTGGACTTGGGCCTCATCTTTCTTTGAGTCTCTTTTTTTTTCAAGATCTTTTCATTACTGCTGTTTCTAATGTATGAGCTGTTTTCAGGTAAAAATTACTGCAAAGGATTTATCATGTCTAGAGAAATCCAAAGCCATTATTAGTAATCTGACAATGGTCCCAACTGTTGGTGATATTTATAGGTATCTCTTTCTTGGTTATTACTATTATTATTATCTTAAAATTCTTTCAACCTTTCCTTAATCTTTAAACAAGCACTGAAAATAGTTGAAATAGGTGATATCAAGTAACCATTTATCCCAAAAGCATAAGCTGATAGGAAATGCCCAATATAACATTAAAACCAACACTTCCCTCATTTACATAGTCAAATCTAATTTACAGGACTTGTTGTATAGATCCAATACACAAACGCAATTGGATTAAGAACCAGTTCCAACTCACATTGTTATAATTTAATTAATAGACTGGCAACATTCGAAAAGAAAACATCTTGAGTAATTATTTATCCCAAAAGTTTGAGCAAATAAGAAAGACCTTAATAATAGTATTTAAATTTTAACAGCACTTGGTTCCACATTATGTTGTGAAGAAAATGTTTTAAAACCATGCATCAAAGAAAGCGCATGCCAAAGGATTTGCACGCTCAAATTTGTAAAGTGTACCCAAGTCAGTTACCTTTGAGATGTGGGATAGGGAACGCTCTCTTGATTTTTCTATTTATGGAAACTTTATGCTTCCCTTATGTTTTTCTTGGTTGACTATGAAGTGGGAAAGTCTTTGACTCTTTGGATCTTAAATCAGGAATTGTGAGATCAAATCAATTGCACCTTATGGAGTTTTTGTTGAGATAGCCCCTGGGCGCGAGGTATATTTCCTCCCAATTTGTTTGCAGTGCATATATTATTTTTTCTTTCTTTTTTCTTCTTATTCTTTTTTTGGTAAAAATTGGCCATTGTACTGTCCTGTAGCATTTGACAACCATACTTAAACTGATCTGGAGTATTTTTCTATTTGATTATGAAAGTAAAATTCCTAATGTGTCTATTTTGATCCTGCAGGGGCTTTGCCATATTAGTGAGCTGAGTTCAAATTGGCTTCCAAAGGCGGAAGATGTAAGCATATATACTGTGCTCCACTCGTTTTCCTTTTATTTATTTAATTATTTATTATAAGGGAAATTGCTATGTTGCAGACTAATTTTTTGGTCATGTCCAATGTTAAACTTGTAACTGGAACATGACATTGGAATATTAAACATAAACTTATAACGTAATGTGGTGGTACAAGTTGATTTTGATGATAAGTGTGTGTTCCATATTATAAATATGATGTTGTAGACTACAAGAGGTTTCATTTTCATTACCATTCCAGTATTGTAGTATGACCCCTATAATTACTCTTGTGATTGTTATAGTTATTATTGTACTATTACTATCAATATACTTGTTTTGTCGAAGAAATATTTAGATGTCACAGTGAAATGATTGTTGTGCTATTGTATCATTACAGGCTGTTAAAGTTGGAGACCGAATTGATGTTAAGCTTATTGAGGTTTGGCATTTTCTTTTTCTTATACATTAACAAAAGCAGTCAGAAGTTATACAGAAATGTAGCATTATTTTAATGGAAAATAGGTTTTTCCTGTACAGATGAGAAAGGGCTTTTATTGGTACATATCTAATTTTCTTTCAGTTTGAATATTACCCTTGTTTAACCTTAATATTCCAAGAGTTCGACCGCTTGATTTCTTTCCTGATAAACAATATTTATCTTGAAGAAAAGAAAAAGAAAATAAAATATGAGGAGTTAATAGAAAAAAGTTCAATCTTGATTCAAAGCCTAGTTGTTAACCTCTCAAATTTTTTGGATTCCTAAATAGAATGCTTGTATGTCAATGAGAAGATTTATTCAAGCCATTATTTCCATGGTTATGTATAGACATCTATTTTGATGGTATTCACTGGTAATGATAGATTTTACCTATGTTGACTAGTAATAAGTGGGATGGTTGACAATGGACTACATTCCCCTATTGCTGTGATGATTATGTAAATTCATTGATGATTAATTAGTTTTCACTCACATGCCATTTTTAACCTGATTGGTCCAAACTAAACCAGCTTGATTTAAAAAGATTTTGCTTGGTTTCAGTTAGTCATATATATTGGTTGATTTGTGTTACATTTTGACCAACTGACCCATGCACACCCCTTATTGTCCTTGAAGAAGTTTGTTTCTACGACTGTTAGTTACTCAGAAGAATTTCTCTCCCACTACTTGAGCATTTCATAGGTAAATGATAAAGGACAACTTCGCCTTAGCCACAAAGCACTACTTCCAGAAACAAATGCTGAGAATCCTCCTGCAAAGCCAGATACAGGAGATTCCACCAAAGATGTTGCAGCTTCAAGTAAAACTGATAGGAGTATGCCAAAAAAATCTGTGAGTGTATTGAAGGATGGTGCTGCTGAGGAGAAGATACAACATCCAAAGGATACAGTTGGCACTCAAAAGGCTGTGAGCTCCTCGAAAGGCAATACTACAGAGGACACTCTACTCTCACAGAAAAAGGTCAAGGCCATTAAGAGAACTGGAAGCCCTTCAAAAGAGGTCTCCCCTATTAACAAAGAAAGGACAAAGAAGAGCACAGGTAAAGCAGTTAGTAGTATCTCTAAGAAAGACGGAAGCAGCTTAGTTGATGGAGAGGCGAAAGTTGGATAATGAGTATTATTTCCAGTTTCAGTGACAAGATTGGTCCCCTTAGTTTATGGTGATAATGATGATGGAAGAGCCTCCATGCTGACAATAAATTTGGTATGAGCTACTCTCACTCACTCTCTCTCTCTCTCCCTCCTCTATTTGTGTGTGTGTCTGCCTGCGTGCATGTGCGTGTCTCTCTCCTTTCATGCATACATGCATGTGCTTTGTACATTCATACATAAATCCATCCCACAACTCTGTGCAAACAAACGTCCCTCTGAGACTTAAGAGTGTAAAAAAATTGTCACATAATAGTAAAACAATATTACACTCTTTTTCAATTGTTTCCAAGGTTAGGGGCTTCAAGTATAGTTTGACGAAATTTGTTTCTAGTGGAGCTTCAGAACATAGTATAATTGACCCCCTCGCCTATTCTTATTAATTAGTTCTAGCTTTGATTGCTCATGTTGAAGAACCCTAATGTTGTTCTTACTTCCCTGTGTCGATAGGGGTGTGAATGGGCTGCACGATGGTAGTGATCACCTGCCTATCTGAAAGTGCAAATCAGTGCTTTTCAAATATTAAGCAGGAGTGGAACCTAAGGCGATATATAGCTCTGTCATCATATGTTTCTTTGAGAGGTAATGTGTGCTGCAGATGTTCTAAAGAAGTTGATGCATACCATACATTTTATTTTTGGGGAATTGGGGCAAGTAAAAACATCTGCTAGAATACATGGAATTTTGTTGTATCATTAACTGCAACAGCCATTTCTTTCATAATGTTAATCTCCATCTCTTTCTCTTTGGCCTTTTTGTTTATTGTTAACGTCAAAAGAAAAGTTCTAATTTTGGATAATTTATTAAGTTGATTATATTCATTAGCTATATTTATTTTTGTATTTCTCAAAGTTAGGATTACACATGCATTTCTCAAGGTAGTAGCTTGTTACCTTATTTATTTATTTATTTTAATAACCGGGGGTCTCTGGACTAGCTTGTGTGTACTTTAATTAATCTCTTGAGACCTTAGAACTACTGATTGGGTAAGAGCTCCAATGACTACCTCTATTAGGGGCTCCAGGAATTCAAACTCGAGAGACCATGTAAATTTAGATTATCATTTGTTCTTTTACTATTATGTTATCCAATAGTGGTTAGTGGTTTGTTACTTTAACAGATAAAAACTTTTGACCTTCATTTAATAAAGAGCAATTGTCACATGAATGTTTAAATTAAAAAAAAAAAATGAACAGTTTGGCTTTGGGATTTAATTCTGGTACTCCTTATGACTGGTAATATTAATTTTATCAATACGATGGATAATCAAACTATTTCTAAGTTTTATATAACCCAAAGGAAGTGAATAAGGTCTTTAACACTGTTTTAAAACCTAGCTTGAGTAGATCGGTTCGACCAGTTAAACTGCAACTTGGAGGCTGGGTTGGGTTTTGAAAGGCTAAAAACCGGTTAATGCAATTCACCCGGTATGACCCACAGTTGGACTGGGGTTATTGTAGTAGCCAACCGTCGGACCAAGCGATTTTGTCCCAAAACTAGGTCATTGCATATTGTTAATTCCTGATCCCTTTTCTTTCCATTTCAATTTTTGTTGGTATAATCCACGACAGATATTCATTTTCTTGTACACATTTCCAATCAATGAGAGTGGGAGAACAAAAAAACTTGGTCCTATAAAATCAGTTTCGCTTATAAAACATGACAAAGCCACAACACAACCAATCTCGTTATAAAACAAATAACCAGTAGGTAGTGGGTAGGAGTGACTTGGGTTTTTGCAAAACAAGAGATGCTCAAATGCCTTTGTGAAGATGCAAGGTGAAGATCGAAGATGTCATTCTTAATGGTGAAGATACAAGATGCAAGTCGCTTGGATTGAGAGAACCAATGAAGAAGCAATGTGAAGATTGAAGATGTCATTCTTAAAGGTTGTGGGCAGCTACAACACCACGATATGGTAGTCGGCGTAGCCTCTCTGTGGAATCAGGAAGGGCGTAGGTGCGGCCATGCCATACGCTGCCATTTAGAAGGCACCCACACTGGCGGCCAAGAGGATGAGAAAATACCTAAATTTAGGGTTGTAGTGTGTTCAGTTCATTTTATGCCCCTTGAGTCCTGGATGCTTGTGAGGTTTGTTTAAGTCAAAATTGTCTTTTCAATTTATTTATTTATTTTTACATTTTATTGGATCTTCATTTCTTATTAAGGCAAAAAAGATAATAGAATCAGAGAAATAATTTCAATTCTGGTTATTATTTAATGGGACATGTTGATGTAATTTATATTTTTTATTCTTCTCTTGGCATACAAATTTCTAATTAATTAATTATCGTGTTGGCTACTGTAAGCAAATATCCATAATTATGTAGATACTCCTATACTCTAAAGATTAAATGAATTAAAAATAGTAGAACAAAATGATATTACCTGAATACCCTTGTAAATAAATTAAAACAAATCTTTTAAAATCTGCTGAGCAAAACTGTAAAAATGTCGAAAATATATCTAAAACGCAATTTTTATAGTGCTTTATATTACAGAGGCGTAAATTTACAGTAAGCCTTCGTATGGTTCTCCAAATTACTGGACAACTGTTGGTTTGGAAAAAATAGACTGTAGGCTATAATGTATTAAGCTTCGTCAATAAAAATCTGTTAAATTGAGAAATGATCATTTTTTTTTTGTCAAATAAAGTGTAACAAATCAAATATTACATTAAAACTTATCAAGCTTTCACTCAACAATCGTACATAAACTTGAATGAAAACTTATTAACTAATTTCAATTTTTTTCACAAACTTTTTAAATTAGTCAATAATCATCAATCTACTTGACGCTATAGGGGTTATAGGTAAGAGTGTAAACGAGCCGAGCCGAGTTTTAGGCTAATCAAGCTTGGCTTGATTGCTATAGTTTCGAGCTTGAGATTGATGAGTTTGAAAATTTGAGCTCGAGCTCGATGATAAAATTTCGAGTTCGAGCTCGACGTTGAAATTCGAGTTCGAGCTCTAGCTCACAAATAAAAACTCTCAAATTCTCCACTTTTCCGCTATCCCAATCAAGTTTTTCAAGCTCAAGCTTGAGCTTTTCGAGCCAAAATCTGACGAGCTCGAACTCAGCTCGACACTGTAGCCAAGCCAAGCTGAGCTTGAGCTTTTATGCGAGCAGCTCAGCTCGGCTGACACCCCTTGTCATAGGTAAACTAGGAAGCGTGAAAGTTTATAAGAAAAGATTTAATCAATAAGAAATAATTATTAGAAACAATCAATTAATTTAAAAAAAAAATTGCACAAATAATAATATACCTATACCAAAGTATATCAATATCAAAGAGTGAGGTAATGGAATAGATCCGAATGAGAGCAATACAAGACATTGAAGTTGAGATATGAGTAACAGCACGAAATCATATTTAGATGTAATGACATTTCCAATTTCAAGTAGGTCATCTATTGATCATATTTAGGATCACTTCCCTTTTTTGCATTGTCAAACAATTGGGTGTGTAATCAAAATAGCTTATTAGGGGTGCCCGAGTCAACTTATGCACATCTTAACTAATCTTTTGAAACCTTAAAATTGTCGGCCGAATAATTTATGCCTGAGTAGACTCAAACTTAGGAGCTTGTAAAACATTATTTCGCTCTTTTGATATCAGGCCATCCAATAGGGATTTTCTCGTTCTTTTTTTGTTATGCTAAAATAGTATTGACAGACTTAAAATATGAGGAATGACTATAATGTGTAGATAAAATATATTCAAATTTGGATGGACTCGACGTGTACATTTATCTTCACTAAAGGACAACCTCCGAATTTTTAGCTATAAAATTTGGTCTTAACAAGGAAATTTGAAGTTGGACTTGCTAACTCTTTCTACTACTTCAATAACCGCAACTCGTCAAGTTGTCATTATCATTACATGTTGCATAATTATTGAATTCATCTCTAATGAAACCGGCACTTTGATGTTGGAAGGAACTTAATTGTTTGTTTGATGTGTCCTCTCAACCATGCCAAAACAAAGAAAAACAAAATTAAGAATACTACATGAATTGTAAAGTTGAAGTAATATGTTTCCTATTAAATATTTACCTATTTGAGGTGACATTTCCAAAAGAATAATGCTAGCCTTACTTACTTCTCCTACTCACTTTTTTTACTCACTTTTGTTAAGAAAATGAAAAAGTGGATAAGACTAACATTTTAACAAAGGTGAGTAAGAGAAATGAGTAGGAGGAGTGAGTAAGGCCAACATTACTCATTAGCCAATACATTTCTTCAAGGGCAGAGCTACATGAAGGCCAGTGGTCGCCATGACGACCTCAGGTCCTGCAGAATTTTTATAATTTGACATAGAAAAGAATCATTTTCGTCCCTTTATCTTAAGTTTTTACTCTGGCCACCGTAGTTTCTGAAATTCAACTTTGGCCCCCATAATGTATCTTACCAATTCTTTGTAGCCCCTTCATTCATTCAACATAACATTTTGGCCCCCTAGAATAAATATTCTAGGTCCGGCCGCCCTTGATTTCGTTACATATGACATCTACAAAGAAGTTTAGTTGTTTTAAGGAAATCTTTTTTAATCCCATTCATCAAGTTATTTCTTTATCAGTCATAATATCACTAGGCAAAATGTATTCTAAAGTACTCTTCAATTTATGTAATGCCCAAATGTAAGTATCCTCCCACTCAGATTCTAACTAAGCAAAACATATTGAAAATGTTAACTGAATTGCAATGTTTAAAACTCAGCTCGACTGAGGGACCTGGGGCCTTCATTGGGTTGGGTTAGCAATTTTTCTATTTATCGAAAACCCTAGAAATTGGGACAGTGATTGGCGAATAATTAAAGGTCGGGATGTTGGGGTTTTTGAAGAGGAAGGGTCAATAAGTACAATGGTGGCGACGAAGGTGATTTCCAATAAGTGAATCTACTAGAAATCGCAAAACTAAACCCGTTGTTGTCGTCGATTGGCGAGGCAATCAAGGGAGGGGTTATATGGGTTTCGGTCAAGAGACTGAGGAGAGTGTTTTCGTGGTGATGGGGATGTTGTCATTTACGGAAATAGGCCCTAATTGCCCTGGTTTGTCGACGTTAGTGGTGGTGTTTGAGGTGTTTTTGCAAGATTTCAAACATGTAGGGACTTATAATAGTTTTTAGGGGTGTTTTTATTATATTTCAAACTTTTGAACATCAATTTGACCCATCAGTTAAACCGATCAACCTAGGACCCGACCACTTTATCAGGTTTCACCCTGGGTTGGTTATTAAAACGCAACTCAATTGATGTCACACCGACTACTAGTGATAGGAAACAATAACTATTAATCTTATATGTATAGTTTATAATTATTACATGTGGAAATGATTTGTAAGTGTAATCGGCTTCATGTAAACATTTAAATGCAGTAGGAGATATTGATCTAATATTGTGTATGTAAGCGTCAAAATCTAAACATCGATATTGTTTAGCAGCATCCCAAAATAATTGTTCAAGTTTTCTTCTTTTAAATTGGTTGAGCACATTCATCTTCAAATGCCAACAAGAAGTCCTATATATCACCCAAGGAGAACACCATAAATAGTTTTTTCAATGCATTTTATGTCAGTATGATATGAATAACTAGGGGCGGACTTAATGAATGACGAGTGGGGACCACGACCCCACTCAATTTTTTTAAAATTTCAGATTTTCTATTTCTATTTCTATTTATTTAAATATTATCCTTATAAATCTTTGAGATTTTGAGAACGGAATAGCTGGCCCCCACAGTAAGTT